ATCCGAAACACATCGGAAAAATATTTGCACATAAGCAGAAAAAAATATGTATATAAAGTAAAAACCTAATGCCCGAGAAATAATTTTACTGAATTTAATGATATAACATGAAAGACTTATTTAAACTTTATATTCTATAGTTTTACGAATCATATTACTTCAAAAATTAAAATGAACAAAAAGTATACATAAACCTCATAATTTTATGAAATTTAATTTAGTAAAAAAAGTTTTTTGACAACAATTTTTACCAAAAAATTTCAAGTTTCAATAAAAATCATTATTTAGAAACTAAAAAACTTAAAATAAAGAATGCTTACGATACAAAGCAAGAAAGAAAAAAGCAATTCTAAAAATTCCTTATATTAAAATAAACAACTTCATGTGTTTTCTTTTTTAATTCATAATCGTACGCAGAAAACCATTCTATAGAAAACTATCATCAAATAAGAAAAAAACTACTTAATAGTAAAATTCTTCATTTTATGAAAATTAACACTTACCTGCTTTATAAGTCAGAAGAATTCCAAAATGATTTGTTCTTCGATTTTTGTTACCATTTTTTAGTGCTACGAAAATGTGTCTTTGGGATTTGCCAAAAATAGAACAAGATGCAATTTTATTTTTTCAGGAGCGAAATATTTTGCCCATTGTCCACCGAAATCCGATAAAGATAGGCGGCACTTAAAAATCGCCAAATCTGTAGCTGCTGTGGCGTTAATACATAAGTACCGAATTTTTATTCATAATTTTCTGAATCATATTACTTGAAACATTAGAATATGCAAGAACATTAGAATAATTATACCATTTATGTTTTCAAAAAAAAAAGTATTTTGACAACTATTTTTATCAAAAAATTATAAACTATAAAACGGAAAATAAAGAATTCTTTGGATAAAAAACGATTTTAAGAATTCTTTACATTGAAATAAAAACTTTCATACTGTTTCTTTTCTTATTATTCTTATAGTTCTTAATCAGACGTAAAAAACCATTCTGTAGAGAACTATCATCAAATAAGAAAAAAAAATTTCACAAGCTAATTTTTTATTATAAAAATCATAACACTTACCTTCTTTATAAATCCGCAGAGTTCC